AGTGGACCAATAAAATCATGATTTGATGAAGATTGATGATCAAAATAAATAAAAAGAATATGTTCACCAACAACTTTTGTTTCATTATCATTATAGGAATATTCGATAGTGTAATTCGATTTCTTCATTTCATCAGTATTAGGTGATGGTCGATGAATTGATGTTCGAGATGAACTAGTATCTGATGGAATTTGAAAGCGAGTAACTGTAACACGTTTTTTATTTGGCGTACTTTTATCACTAAAAATGAGAATATATTTAATACTTTATCTATCAATTAACAAGATTTTTTTTTGTATGGATCATCATCAACAATATATTTTTTACTTACTCAATTTTTTCAAATAGAGCATACATAGCCGATGACAAAGACAATATGAAAATTGTTTATAGTCTTTTTTGTCTCGTAAAACGAAAAAAATAAATGAAATTTTGGTTACTTAACGTTTATGTACTGATTGAAAAGAACGACAAAATTTATCTTGATTGCACTGAATGAATATCTTTCTTTGCTGACTGGCATTTAAAATGAATGTTTGTAATGTTGAATTCGAAACAAAAACACATTGTACAAACACGAAAAAATAATAACATGTTCTTTTGTATGATTGATCATTTTTCATTAAATATCCTTTTATCTTCTTTCTTCAACTCTCTTCTGTTCTTTTTCTGTTCTGTTTTCGATATGTTGGTAGAATAGCAGCTAACAGCAAAACAATCGTTGACATAACCATCCATTAAATATATTCTACAGTTAAAGATGAAGTATATGTGTACATACACCCATTTGAGGTCATTGTTTTCTTTCTTTCTTTCTATTTCTATAAGTGAATAAGATTCTTACTATCAACTAATATCGTACCATATTACTGTTATTTCTTCTTTCCTATGTATCGATTTCTTGTACCATTGTTTCAAACGTAAATAACAAATTAGCAAAGCAAACATATATGAAGCTAAAATCTATTGGATACTTTTTAGACATTGTAACCTTCTGCTGCAAAATATATTGATTTAATAGTTCTTTTTTTTGAAAAAAAAAACAAAATGAAATTTGACGATTTTTTACATACAGTTAATGATTTTGGTCGATATCAAAAGTTAAGATATTTTTGTATATGTTTGACGTACATGTTACCACCTGGTAAGCATATTAAAGATTCTAAGTTTTTGATTAAATTTTATTGCTCAATTAAGTCATGGTTTATACATGGTCATTTGCAGCTGCAACACCTTCATTTCGGTGTAAACTTTATGAGAATGATACTGTCTATGATAATCATGTTCCACTTTTCTATAATCGAAGTCAACCTGATGAATCATACTGTAAAGTAAATATGAAAATATCTATTAAAGAATGTCATCGATGTTATATGAAAACAATATCAACAAATGGTTAAGTAAATATTCAACCGTGTGAAGATTATGTTTTTCATCGAAAATATTATCAATATACACTAGTTGAAGAAGTTTGTATTTGTATGATAAAAATAACAAAAACAAAATTCCAATAGATGTCTTTTTTTTCTAGTGGTTAATGGTTTGTGATCGAACTATATTTCGTTCCATAGTACAAAATCTTTTCTTTGTTGGTTACATGGTTGGATCAATATTTTTTGGAATCATGGCTGATAAGTATGTTGTCTTCTAATTCAAAACAAAAACGTAGTAAGAGAAATTCTTATGATTACATTGAAAGAAGAATAAACCAAGTTATACAGATCTTATAATATTGTTTGCTATTTTTCCACGATGTCGATGCTTCCAAAACCCATCTTATAAATTCTGGTAATAGTCCGAGATATATGCAGGACGAGAAGAGACATATACTATACATGAAATCAACAGCAAGATCTTCTTAAAAATTAACCAAAAATTGTGGAGAATTCCATTGTTGAGTGACTTCTATGACAAGACTGAGTAACCATGCAACTAAATAAAGACTTGAAATACTAAGTAATTGTAATGTCATGTGTCGTTGTTTTTTCCAAGGAATAGTTTTTTGTTAACGATACTTACGTTTATTAACGCGTATTACTAATGATACATTAGTCAGAATGATGACAACAATTGATGAAACATTGTTTACTAAACAATCGATCGTACTTAACACTTTATTGTAGACAAGATAAAAATTGGCATAACCACATAGATTTTATGTAAAATCCCATTGAGTATCATCAAGTGGATATAGTACAATAATAATCATGTAGAAAATAATTGGATAGCTAAAATAAAGTGCTAGAGGAACATAGTAAAGTGTACAACGTTTAAAACCACTGTGAAATATATTTATTTGGAATATGAGCATATGCCGTTGAATAGAAATGGTAGCCACAAGAAGTTCACTTATTAAATTAAAACTGTACTCGAGAAACGGCCACCAAGTACAATAAGTGGATGTTGCTGGATTAACATATCCGAAATAATAGAAATTAATAGCCATTGGTAGACCTATTACTAATTGAATAAATGTGATGACTATTAACACCGATAAAGCTTGATTTTGAAGAACGTTTAACGTAGAATGATATGTAATGAAAAACGCAAAAATTAACAAAGTAATTAAAATTGCTGGTATTTCCCCAATATGGTTAAAGTAAAAAATTTTATTCGATGAAGAACAAATTTATTGTCTTTGAACGTCCCCATGTTGCAAATGTTTACTGTAAAGGAGACGAAGAAGATTAGAGTAATGATTTCTTGTCTCAGAATTCTTTCATCAAATAATATATTCAACAAAAAGTTTATATTACAGTAGGGTTCTTATTAGTTTTATTTCAATAGAAATAATAGCTTTCAAAGTAATTTTGTTCATTCAGATACAAATAATAGGATTTTATTACACTTGAATTAAAATCTATTCTAACTTTGCTTTTGAACAACACTCAGCTCTAATGAATACACGCGATTCGATGTCCTCGAAAAGATGCCTTGCCATCAGTACATAACTCCGTACTTGTAATAAGGAGTACTATCAAACTTTCGAGATATAATGCAAAACTTCCAACATCGAAGAATCAAAGATTTATTTGTCTAGTCATTTACTAGTTTTCAATACGATGTTCCTTTGTCTTGGAGACAGTCACATGACATGATACATTTTTTGAACTTTAATTATTTCAAACTTTGAGACTACTAAAAGAAATGCAACAATAACAGTTAGTAGTCACTATTTCTAAACAAATGAGTATATATACTATGTTAGTTGTGAATATAGTGGATGACAGATAATCAATCGATAGTGTTCATCAAGAACATGTTGATAAACACATCAATAGACTTTTCTTAGTAACGAATTTTGCAATTGACACTTTTTTATCGTGTTCTTTTTGATTTCGGTCAGTTGACTGATCGAAATTTAAATTTTCCGATATTTCGATTACAACGAGAGAGAAATGAACTTGATTTTAGTAAACTGTAAATATTTTTTGAAGAAAAGCGTTTTGTAATCAAACGTACATACGTTTATTCATTTGATAATCGACATTCAAAGCTTCGTACCGTATTGCGTTATCAAACAAAAAGTCAAATGTCATCTAGTTTACTAATTATCTTTTGATTTTCTAAAGATATGGTCATCGTCCTATCATGAGTATTTGTATAATATTAATGCCATGTACAGGGTTTACTTGTGCTTTTTTTCCACAAAAAACATATTTGGATTTTGGCCAAGTTATTTAGTTTATACAATAAGTCGTTTTATATTGGCTTGTTCAACAAGAGGTATTGCTGTTACTGGATTCGTATTAGGTAATTGTTTTTTTTGGTAGAGATTAAAATATATTCATTATTTGAAAGTTATCTTTTTATTTAGCAACAGAATTAGTTGGTCCAAAAAGTAAATTTTTAACAGCAATTATTGTCCAATACTTTTTTGCTTTTGGTCAATTATTTTTGGTTAGTTTTACTTATTTTATTCGTGAATGGAGACTTCTAACAATAACTTTATCAATATTTACAATTCCATTTACATTTTTTTATTTGTGAGTCAATTAAGAAATATTCTTTCATTCTCTAATTACATATCAGTACTATTAGTGTATTACCAGAATCAGCAAGATGGATGATTAGTAAAAGACATTATAAAAAAAGCAGAAAAATTACTTCGAAAGATTGCTGAAACAAATAAACGAACGTTTGATGAGGAAATGTTTCAAAATTTAACAAATTCACAAGAGAAAGTAAATAATACAAAATATTTCTCAGAAAAAAGATTTTTCACAAGGTTAAAATAAAAACAATCAATCTTTTGATGATAAATCATTATCAATTGTGAAATAATCCAATTTTTCTTTTACAAAAATTCAATATCAAATTGTAACTTTTAAAAAAAATTGTAAAAATAAAATTGGTGTTCGTTGATTATGATTTATCGAAGTTCTTATAATTTCATACAATTCAAGAAGAAAAGAATGGCATCTTATTAGGATTGATTTGAAATGAAGTAACAAAAAAAAACTTGTGAGATTTTATTCTATTTTTTAATAGAATACAACGGATAAACCATTAGAAGTCGGTGTTTTAGCATTGTTTCAATCAAAAATTATGTGTATCATATCAATTAATTTATTTTTTCAATGGTAAATCCGTTTAGAATATTTCTGTTTCATATAAATTATACTATGTTATTAAGGTTTGTACAAAATTTAGTTTTCTATGGAATTTCACAAAGTACTGGTTCTTGAGGATTTAATCCTTATTGTAAGAATTTTAAGAGAAAGCTTCCATTTTTTAATATTCTTATTTAATATTTAGTATCATTTACAATATCAGCATGTGTAGAAATATTATCGTACATAGTATTACATCTTCTACTTAATCGTATTGGACGAAAACGACCATATTTTATTGCTGTTTTTTGTTTTGCAATTATTGCATTATTAACGATTTCAGCTTAACATATGATATTAAAAAATAGTCAAGGTCAATTAAATTTTTTTCATCAATAAATTGATCTATTTTTCCTTTTTACAGAACAAAAAATACTCCTATTTATAATGAATGTATTATTAAAGTTTTTTGCAGCTGGTAGTTATGCTATTATTTATATATATGTCAATGAATTAATTCGAACAGGAATAAGAAATACTGGAATGGGTATTTGTTCAATCGTTGCACGTAAACGATTTTATTTTAAAATAAAACTTTTTTTTTTACAAAGTATTGTAAATAGGAATTGGAGCAATTGTTGGAACAACAAGCAATGATATTTTAGTTTGTATCGTTATATTTTAATAAAAGTGCGTTTGATATTTGTTTTTGAAATTCTTGCTATTTTAGACTCGACTCTGGATTAATCTACCAACCGTTTTGTTTGGTATTTTATCACTTATAGCAGCTTTTCTTGTTTTAATGTTACCCGAAACATTAAATAGAACATTACCACAAACAATTGAAGATACTGAACAAATGGGTTTAACTTGGTATGTAATTATTATATTAAAAATATTTAAAAAAACTTTTCAAAATAAATTTATTACTTGTATTCGTGACGATCAACGAACTTCAGAACAGGAAGGACAAATTAATATTAAGAATAACGATCATGATTTAAATGAAGATCGATTATTGAATGAAAATTTAAAAGGAATTAATGATTCTTAAATTTGAAAAAAAAATACAATATATGACTTAAAAAATAACATATTTATACTCTTTGTAACTGGTTTTTGTTTTCAAATAAATCTTAATAATAATAATTCAATTATAAAAGAATTTTATTAACAAGTTTATTTTATTGTCAACAGTTTATGTAGACTTTTCAAATCGAAACAATCATCATTTACTGAAGGACATTGTTTGCATTTTCCATTTGGTCGATGTGTCTGATGTTAATTCAAATTGTGTATATAATCATTGAAAAGTCAATACCAAAATTCTTCATTATTCATCATTAAAGCTATTTTTGTTCTCATGATATCACTGAAGAGTCAAGAATTGACATCGATAGGAATTCCTGGTTTATTGGAGTCCAAGTCATCATGAATGCGAAATTTGTTTCTATATGTAGAACATAATTTTTCAGTTGCACGAAAAATCGTATTGAAAATATGGTTCATAATTAGACGTCGTATTTCTATTTGTCTTTTTAGTTGGTCAAAATTTGTAGCATACACGTTTGTAATTACATAACAAACCAGTATTCTTGTCATTTTGACATGACGTTAAAACAGTTGTTACAATATCACTATTTACAATGTCAACAATAGTTGCATAATAAGTTATAAAAATGGACTGAATATTTTGTTCTTTCATTTCATACAATAAATTATTGACGATATCGAATTTATTCAATTATCAACACTTCTTGTATGTGGAAATAGGAATTGTAAAACTTCTATTGTTGTTATTCCTTCTATCAAACTTTGTGTCAAATGATCGACTTGAATCGATGTAGAAACGTCAAAATGAGAAATTACTTTGATAAATTCGGATTTTTCAACACGTGATTGCTCAAAGATATAAATATTAATAGGAACCGAAGTTGAAAAATCATAGATCTAAATGAATTGTGTTGTCTGGTTGTTATACCAATTGTCATGCCTACCTTTTGTAAAATGTCTTCCAATGTTGATGACTGAGTGAAAAATGATGTTTCGTTTTCTGTGTTTGTATCAGAGGTAAGAACTGGCACTGTTCTTTCAAGCTATCATGAGAAAAATACTCAGTATTGCTGATACAAAATAGCATCAGCGTAAACATAATTTTGGTCGATTGTGATTTCGTCTTGTAGGAATATCTTAGGTTGGCGATTTTTTGCATCGTTTTTCATTTTTATTTCATTGTCATTTTTTTCTGTAAAAGTTGTACAATTGAATGATTCTTAACTAAGGGTATTGATTCTATTAATATTTAGCTTGTTAATCTTAAAAAGATTAACAATCAAATGATGTTATCAAACATTTCAAAATTTAGGTCATTTTTCGGACTGACTTTGAAGTGGATTAGAACACGTTTGCTTGCTCTATATAAGATTATATTTAGTTCTTTTATCGAAAAAAGTATGAGAATAAGGAGAAGACTCTCTGATGCAAGTGTTCAACACTATTAAAGATATGAATTATTTGACGACAGAAAGGTCAATCACACATATCTTGATCTTGTTCCTTTACGACTAATCGGTCCTTTACAAAATACATTGTGATAGACAATATGGTCAACGAATATGTAAGACTTGATCTTAGCAAAATTTCAGAGAGCTTGAGAATAATTCATACTTCAGTGAATAACATTAGTTTTGCAATCATAATGAGAGTCGCTTAGCTTACATATGACGAACATAAGAAACGTAAATATCTATTTATTTATTATTCTCGTAAAAAAATGAATAAACATAGATTCGAAAAAAAAATAACAATGATTATATGAACATTGTATGAATTGACCTGAAAAGTGTGAAACCTAAGAAAGTTACTTAGAAGTATCGTACGTTAATTACTCAAATAAAGAATATAATGTTCGTAGAAGATTCAGTGATCTCTTCTGCATATAGGTACACAGTGTCGACTATTGATTTGTATTGACATATGTATGTCAATAGAAATGCAAATGCTGCTGGGCATTAGATCAATGTAAGAAAAATGTTTGGTTGTATCTAATACAAAATAAATCAAATAATCTATAGCGTAACAAAATAATAGTAACATTATTAAATGCAAGTTTACACAGCTAGTAGTGTTATTGTCTTCAAATTACTTGTTTTTTAAGAGCATGATGATCTGAATACGATCTTCCTTTAGCGTAAATTCATCACATTAGGTATATCATTTTATTTCTTTCTTCCCCAATCGATTTCAAATATTACAAAAACGATTAATTTTTTCAATAGCTTCTACCTAATGCATGAAGTTTGCTATCATTATTAATTGGAAATGATCAATCATGTGATTGACAAATATTTAGAATTTTCTTTCACGGTTTAATATGCAACTATATAACTTAACCTCAGGACAAAATCATCAAATCAGAAAAAATGTGGTAATAACAATATAACTGATACCAATATTAAACTTGGGCGCTGAGTTTCATCGGTGTGGATATAGATCTCTATGCGCAGTATAGGCGTTGGTGTGGGTAACTGTAGCTGTGATTGTGAACGTCTTCTCTTCATCCATAGTCACACCAAGGCCCACATATCTATACACTCATACATATATACGCTTATAGTTTTCAACAACAGACATTTTTTTCGATATTTCGACTTTTGACGTTAGCCAGGTGATCTACCTGTCAAGCTTATTCTATAACTATTTATCTACGCACCCAACTAAATATTCGCCTCATTGAATGTCTAACTATACATTTCACTATGGAATTATCTAATTAAATAGATGGTAAATATAAATATGATTAAAAGATAAAACGTTTAAGTACAAAAATGTTTTTCTTCCAAACCTTATCATTTGATAATTTTACTTTTGACATTGGCTGAGTAAATCTATTTTGCTAGCTCCATAGTTTAGCAAGAAATTTTTTATTGGTAAGTAATTTATCAGCCAAACTTTTTTGACGAAGAGTCGGCTATTGACAATTGTCATTATGTTCAAAAACCATCCTTCGACAATAACATTTGGAACATCTAATTATTATCACTGTATTTAAAAACTCCAAGGGTAGTAAGTGTTCGAATCGTGGGCGATAGAGTCTTCTAGGGTAAGATTTTTTGGTACCCTAACTTTCCCCTGCTGTACAGATTTTTTATGCCACACCCTAATATATCCTCAGATTTTTATATTTTGATGAATGTTAAGATGAAATCTTGTTCACTATATTGCAGCATATCTTATTGATTTTCAACAAAAAGCAAATACAAATGTATCATATATTTCGAAAATTTCGTAAGAATAAAATATCGTTAACAATATCGCTACCTAAATTTTGTCTTCTCTCTTCCAGTACTTTCTCACTTGCATTGCAAATATATTCACTTGTCACTGAGCTAGCTGGAATTCCCGATAGCGATTGTGCTAATACACTAAATTGTGAATAACTCAATGATCATTTATCCCACTATTGCAATACTGATTCTTTTTTAACAAAACTTAATTTTTCTCTAGCATAAATATAAAACTCGTCTTATTCATTTTCTTCATCTGATGCCGGTTCATTTGCATTTGCAAATTCCGTTAAAACATCATCTTGTGAAATTTCGAGTTGTTTCTTTTTTTCTTTCGTTTCTTTCACCATGTTAATAACAATTGTTGATGATTGTTGTGGTTGAATAATTTCAACAGTTTTTAACATAAAAAAAAAACTTTCAGCTCTTATTCTTGAAACGGTAATAGTATTGAATCGCTAATCTCAAATTAGAGATTAGAAACTAAATTTAAGGTATGCAAAAGTTTCATTGTCTAGAGAACTAATCTGATGTTCACTGTTTGAGTACCTAAGTATCTAATTTCCATGCAAAAGATATTGAGTATCTGGATTCAGATTTGGAGCTTAACATATATCTCAAGCAGAGAAAACAGAATTTAAGAAAGACTTCTAATAATATTATTTTCTCATCAAATCTGAAAATAACTTTAGCAATTTTTGTTCAAAGAAAACGTACTCGGAATAAGAATTCTATTTCATAAGTTTTCAACATACAAGAAGATTCTTCGCTATCGAGTGCAGAAATATTCCAATTTCATGAATTTGAGTTAACCAAATCTTCGTGTTTATACGTATATTCTAATATCAATTACTTCAGTTGTTTGATCGGTGATGAATCATTTGTTTTGATTTCACAATAACTTTTTAGCTTATTTATCCATGACAAAACCAAATGCAATGTTGGTTCTTGATCAGACGATAAC